AAATGACACAGTCCCCGTTAAATTTTTGAAAGTTGTGCTCGTCATATTAGATCGAAGGGGTTGTCATGAGCGTGTCCTTGGAACTTGAGTTCCAAGTGGCATATACAACAGATTGTTTATTTACATCAAAACACGTGTTCTGTGTAGTAGTAATATGGCCAAAAATAAAAACAGCCGTTATTCGGCCATCTTTGATCTGATTATGAAACACACTGACATGTATAATGTATGTGCCAAATACGAATGAAAATGATACATAAATTGTGGAAATATAGTAGTAAAGCCAAAAAGTCAGATGGCTGTCAATCGGCCATCCTTGACCAGATTTCGAAACAAATTGTCATGGACATGCATCCTAACATATATAAAGTACATGTATGTGCCAAATTTGAATGAAAACTGACAAACAAAAAAACAAGATGCCTGCCAGTCGACCATCTTTGATCCAATTGTGAAATAAATCGTCATGGACATGTATCCTAACATGTATAATCTATGTACCAAGTTTGAATGACAACTGACAAAGCATGTCCAAAATACAACATTGTCAAAAAGCAAGATGGCTGCCAGTCGGTCATTTTTAATCGAATCACTAAACCACTGCATGTGCATATGTCCTACATAAAGTACTGGGCACATGCAAAGAATGAACAAAATCGGTCCACAGGATTCTGAGATACGACTCTGGACGGACGCACAGATGCACAGACGGAGACTGAATTATAAGTCCCCGTTTTCGGACTTTGTCCGAACGAAGACTAAAAAACTTGAAAAAGACAGGATTTTCAGATCTGGAAAACGGGGTTCATCAACCTGCCAAGTTTTATCTATATCTGCTGCAGGATTTCTGAGAAAATGTTAGAGACGTCACAAACGGGAAATTGAAATAAGAATTAATAATCGCCTTTCAGACTACATATGTACCAATCTGAGTGATTCCAGAGATTAGTATCACAAGTTTTTACTCTCTGTGATTCAATATCAGCCCTATGTATAATGCTGTGTTGATCAATGAACAATGGTTTTGTATTCTTCTAGCATTTCGACTATGAAAAAATAATTGATTTTGGGAGTGGTTGAACACAGTGGCATATTTTGAGTGGTTGAATTATAGGAGTATAAATGAAATGCAGGATTGAAAAAAAAAAAAAAGTACTTGTATTCTCTTCTCGAAATGATAGTTACAAATGTACCACAGACAGAGCTTGTCAAGTTTTGTAAACAAATTATGTATTAGTTCTTTCATGCCAATTGTAATTTGTAATAAAACTAATAACACATACACTCGCTCAATCTTTTTTTCATACATGTACTATTTTTTTTTGGTACTGCTTATCTTATTTTGGAAGAGTTGGGTGGCCCAGAAAATGTTTTACAAACTTCAATTTATACAGAACGTCCTGTCCTATCACCACCTTGACAAAGCAATTGAACCTGCAGTTTTTAATAAGAAGTTGAAAATAGAATTTTTGGTCAAAAATAACAAAAATATTCGCTATAAATAAGACAATTGAACATATCCACACGAAATGAACAAATCTGAGAGAGAACCACCCAAGGTACCTTCCTAGAAAGTTTCACAGCTATACAGTTTGTGGTTTTTAAGAAGTCGAAAATGTCAAGTTGACGACGACGATGACGGCGACAACGGCGACGGACAATCAATAATACTTCGTCAAGAGCGGAAATAAAAAAATAGGCCAATGATGGCCTGTTGCTCTTGTACAAAAGATTAGTGCTGTATATGCCACAACTTTTCATTTAAATTTGTACTTTTAAATGAAATATCGCCAAACAACCACACAAAGT